TAAGATTCAATATCATAAATTGGAATAATATATGTTGATTCAATCACTTGTCTTTATTCCTAAACTAATTGAACTTGGAACAAATGATGAATTGGCAATAAACTATCTTAATTATGACATCAAACAACTTCATACAATCCAATTTCAATCGTTATTACCAAAAGATCATCATATAAAGCATAAAATAATAATTGAAATTAATTAGAATCAAGTAATAATCAAGTGTGTTCATCCAAAAAGTCATAAACATCCCTGAAAGTAACCCTAACGGTTAGCCTTCCATTGAGTTCATAAAACAAATAACTTGATTAAAATGAATAAAATGCAGAATAGAATTCATAAACAAATGTAGAATCATCAAATAAATGTGGCCTAATGATTATCAAAGTATATAACAAATAAACCTTGGGGAAGAAGAAATAATTCTGGAAAATAAAGAATTGATGAAGATTAACCAATGAAATGAACTTCACTTATAGCTCGGTGATGAATTGACTTGAATCCGGATTGAAATGGAATGGACTTGTGTTTCCAAATGTTTCCAAGGGTTTTAGAAGCCTTAAAAACGCAGGTAAAACTCTGAAAATCGCAGGTGGGAACCCTAAAAACGAATCCATAAGTCCCTATTTATAGTGTGTGACATAAAATAATGGAATTGGGCGATGTAGGACATTGGACGTCCTAGGAGACATCTTAGACGTCGTGTATAACGCCCATGCGTTCTTTGTTCGTCCTTGCATGCCATCTGTCATCCTTGAAATACACTAAAAATGGCCAAAAACGTCAGACGTCTTAGGAGACATCTTAGACGCGTTCTAGGACGCTATTCCTTGTTTTCTAAACCTTCCGAAACACACCGTTCCAACACGAGATGTCCCTAAAACGCCCAGACGTCCTAGGGGACATCTTAGACGCCATGTAAGATGCCGACGGGGGTTCCTCCTTCTTTTCTGCTCTGAATTAACGACCAAATGTTGACCGTTTGACCTGGACGTCCTAGGGGACGTCTTAGACGCCTGGAGGCGTCCTTCATCTTCCGTGGAAGTTTTGGTTGTCAAAACAACATAACTAGCAGAAACACAAAACATGAAAGTTATAGCAAATCTTGTCTAGTTTCCAGAACTTCTTTATTCATGTCAATCGGAGCTCCAGAACTTGAGATATGATCAAAATAATGAAGAGTGGTCAACTTTCCCAGCAACATTTCTTTATTCCTTGAGCAATTCATTTTACTTGCAGGTTCCGCCCACTTTTAGTACGATATATTGACCTGTATATGAAGTTCAACAACTCATCAAAGTAATTCCATTCTTGGGCAATTACTCATCAATTCAACATAATTATGACAATTTAACACATTCATAAAATGGACTTATCAATTTATGATAATATTTTTGGTGTGTAATCGACTTGAAGATTCGAATTTTAGTGAGTCTCTCCATTGGATCTTCTTGCTTTGAATTCAATATTTGAAGATCCAATTATCTTTTGTAATTCCAAATCTATCAAAATATCTTGGAATCGTGTTCTTGAAATCAGTTTTTTTATCATTTTGATTCCACTGGATCTATTTGCTTTCAATTTTGAATGGTTGTTCATCCATATGTTGATGCCATTCAATTTTCAAGCCCAAATCAAAATTCAAAATCATTTGATCTGATATGTTCAAAAATCAAGCCCATGTTCTTTTTAAATATTTAGCCCAATCCAAATCATAATCTCATTACTATTCATGTTTCTTTTGAACCAAAATCAAACGGTTCACATCAGATATCTTCATTCTTGAGTCAAACCAATTCTCGATTTCATGACTTCAAGATACAGAGCTTATGTAAAATTCAACATCAAAATTTTACCATTCTTCTATAAAAATGATTCCCGATATTTGCTTTATCGATCACATGGCTTTCAAAATCATTTTTCGATTCACAAATAAATTCATATGATTTGATTTGTCATTCGATTTGGTGATAATCGGCATCAAGATTATTCTCAAATTTCATATTATCGGCTTGAATTCGTGCTTCGCGTCTTTTTCACTGAATCACGCATTCTCAAAGGCGTAATTGGCCAAATTGATTTGATTAATCTGTTTGTATGTTTGTGTATCTCAATTTGTTTCATGAGATCGCTACTTGTTCATTCTAGGTTCGTTCAAAATTCAATACCATCTTAATCGTATTGAAAAGTTCAAAAGATTTCGATGCGGTTTAGTGAAGTCAATAATCTATGGGTCATTTATAAAATCAAAACTGAAATTGGAACCAATGTTACAAGTCGATGAAGCAAAGGCAGATTGCCAAATATTTTTCACATTGAAAGATTGATTCTAATTTACTTGAGTTCTTGATTGTCAAAGAACCGATGAAAAACAACCAAGAACAGCCGAAGAACAAGAAATTTTATTGAAAGTTGATTGGTTGGATATGAAAAATTGAAGTGAAATTGAAATTTTGTTGTTTGTCGAAGTAACGAGCTGGAGTGATATCGAAATTTATTTGATTAGAATACAAGAATTGAGAAGCATAAATGAATTAGTGTTGGTCGAATTGATATCTAATGGCGGTGATATTATTTGAAATTTGATTCGAAAGTCGTATTACATGGTCAATAATGGTGTGCCATGATGGAATTTTCAAATCGATATGTTTTATTTCTGATTCGATATATTTAGTGGGTTCATATGTGAAGGGACAAATATGAAAGGAATGAAGGTGCTTCAGTGGTGGCTCAGTTCAACATCAAAGGATTTACGGTTGAACGAGAATTTAATGATGCTTAAGGTCGAAGATCTAACTCTATATGGAGGAAGAGTTCAATTTTAGGTATCTGTGATCGAAGAACGATAGTTTGATAGTGAATGGGATTGTGAATAAAAAGTGATGATCGGTTTGAGTCGAATGGCTGGATATTGAATGGTCAAAGCATAAGGAACGAAAGTCAAAATTGAAAATCTCATCATTTAGTATTGATGGTCGATGGCACATTTTCGATTGTGGTTAAGTTGACGAAAGTATGGGTTTCACATATAGCTGTTGAGTTTTCCACATAGGCTTGATGATCGGAAAATACCTTGTTATCGAATTAAAGTTTAGGAGTCGAAAGATTATAATTCCTACTTTGAATGGTCGAAAGTTTGGATTTCAAAGGCAGAAAACCAAAGTCGAGTTTCGATTGTAACAAACCAAAAACATTGATAAAAATTTTCATTTTTAAAAACAATAGTTTCAATCATTAAATTGTTCCAAAACATTCACAATGTATAATATCAAAATCATCAGAGTAATAGTAACCAAAAAGTACCGAAATCATGAGGGGAGGATGTTGTGTCATCACACCGGGTTTTTTCCTTTTGTATCGGAAGTATCTGAAACCATAAACATAACTATAAGCACAAAACTTAATGAGTTCCCACAAAATATTACATACCAAACATACAATTGGGCCTAGCCCTAAGGCATATTTCAACCCAATAAACAAATATGGGGCCCACCATGGGGTATATTTCAACATGAACATGCTATAAAATGTCCAATACCAAAAAATCTAACTCTTTTACCCATTAAGACATCAAACCCTTTCAATAAAAGGGCTACCGGGTATGGTTCATAAACTATGATCCAAACCACATAATTCTTACGACTTCGGATCTGATCAATGTAAAAAACATTTTAATTTTCAGATTCGCTCCTAACTCTAAAAATGTATGCACATTTAAATCGTTTTTGGCTCTTATGTCAAAAAGTAGGATGAGGGTTTTTGATCCCAAAGTAACCATTTGTTTTGTTACCTTGCCGAGATAGAACAAGTACTTTGGGTAAGTGAGTGTCATGAAGATCAAAAACAAGGATAAAGTATCCCACTTTTACAAACAAAATGTACCATTTAGGTTGGGATAAGTTTATGGGAAGAATCAAAGTTATTTTTTGTGCAAACCAGACCTTTTAAAGTTGTGGACGAATTATTTGCACTTTGCAAAGACAACTTATCTGTAGATAAATATATGAAGAAGATTTCGGACACACTTCTAATATCAGAAGATACGTTGCCAACGGAAAGGAGAAGAATCTATCGTTCCACGAATGGGCTAGTCGTTGATTATTTGATTGATGTTAAGCGTGGAAATACGTCTTGGTGCAACTATAGTTGCACGAAATGTTGAGCATACACTAAAAAATATAAGAATTAAAGCCATGACCTAGTCATATTTTTTAAAAACGGTCTTGGCCCAAGTTCTTAGCCTGGGCGGGCCCCAAGGCCCATGTACAACATGCTCTCCAGTAGCCCTAGTAAATCTCTCATATATATATATATATATATATATATATATATATATATATATATATATATATATATATATATATATATATATATATATATATATATATATATATATATATATATATATATATTAGTTGTTTACCCGCACCAAGCGACGGGTGCAAATAGCTTTTTCAGAAATTAGTTCTAGAAGCGAGTGGTTCTTTTGTGCAAATAGTTGAGTGTTTTACAATTATTGATAATGTAGAGATCTTCAAAACATGAAAAGCCACTAATGTGCGATAAAAATGGACAAAGGTATCCCCTAATCTTTCCCTCTAGTACCATAAAAATCAATCATATTGAGCTCGACACAAATGACCAAAATATCATATTAGAAGCTCCCAAATGACTACGACAACAAGAAGAAAAAAAAGTAATCTACAATGAAAGTAACTTGTTTTTTCTTGCATTCTGACTGACCGTAATAGATGCATGATCAAGCTTATAATAAAGATAATAGGATCCATGATTATGGCTATATTTGACTTCTTTCAAACAGCAAGTGCCAAATTTTCAACTTACATTCATATACTAAATGCAAAATATAGCAACTTATTTTCCTTATTAGCAAGAAATAACAACACACTTTTATAAACAAAAGCAAGTTGTTATTTCTTGCAATTTAACAAAATATAATGCAAGATATAGCAACTTACATTCATTTATTAGCAAGAAATAGCAGCTTACTATCATTTGTTTTTACAAATAACTACACACGATAAAGTCACATGCATACACAGTCACATACATACACAAACATGCAAATACTATTTCTTGCATTGTGGAATGTGTTACCTGATGTCAAATACAATGATGGCTTCAAATAGTTTTGTGTATTGCTATTATAAAACCACTTGGTTTAAACAACATTGTGTATTAATATTATATAAAAAATAATAACATTGATCGTTGCTTTCAAACCAAATGATTCAACATCAACAGTAACATTAGGGTGACCGGCCCATTTGAGAGATGGTTACATAATGAACTTGCCTCACTTGTAACATACACCTACATCTATGAAAAAGAAAAAATAAATATATGAAATGCCCTTCAACTAAGCATAACTTGATAAAATTTTAGCAAGATTCTTTTAAAAATGATGTTTACAATATTTTATAACATTAACACTCTTTTAGTAGCAAACCATTACACAATAAACATTTCATTTAAATAAATGTCAATTAGTCCTGAAAGGTAACACGTATTAGTCCCAAACATAAAATATAAATAGAAAAGGAGATGATATATAACATACTCATCAATACCTTCAGAATTTTATCAATTTAGTTGCTTCAATATTTTTTACTCTTTAGATATAGTTAGTAAACCATTAAATGTATTTAGTCATTTAAAGGCTAAAATGGTTTATTTACCAAAAAAAAAAAAAAAACTAGGTGGCTAAACCACTAAAGCTTTAAGTATCTTAAACCGAGATCAAAACCGGTTAACTGGAGAAAAAAAGGTTGTTTTTAAACAGATAAATGGTTTAATTAGGACAAAATTCTTAGTGGTTAGATCGATAAACTAATGAAAATAGGTTGTTTGTTTTTGGACTTTGTCCTTACTTTATTTTCTTAAATTTTCCTGTTTCAATATAGCAAGAAAGAATAATGCAAGAAAGAGAAACTGAAAATGAGAAATTACCTGAACTAACCCTACTCACATGATCCGATTGGAAAGCAACCAAACCATCTTTCCCAATATCTTTTGTACAAACTTCATTTAACAATTTCCTTATTTGTATGAAGAAATGAGACTGGATATAGATACCTACCTAGAAAAAATCAATAAACAATTCAATTTTTATACCCATACATGGAACTTGGCCTCCAAAAGATTAATCATCTAATTCACAAACTTGACAAACAGTTAAATTAAGATGAAAAAGACCTAATGTTGAATCAAAAATACATTTTTTTCATCAAATTAGGAATCAAATAAGCATTGTAAACAAAAAAAAAAAACATTTTTTCATCAAATTGGGAATCAAATAAGCAATGAAAACAAAAAAGAAACAACCATCATACTTTCCTGCTTAGTGCTTTTTAAAAATTAAAATCAGCCATTTTACCTCAAAAGTTCGTATGAAATTCAAAAAGTTAACTTTTGAGGTGCCCCTGCAATTCCTCACAAGTGACCATGATAACAAATAATAATAAAAAAAAAATATTAAGAACCATGTGACCCTGTTAGCAATGGATGTTAAAGGCATATAAAGAAGAAAGAAAATTACCACGTGTAAATAAAGGGCAATTTAGTCCGTAAATTAGTATCAGAATATCCAACTTTTACCACACAACAGAACAATCCTCCTCCTCCATCAAAGTTGGGAAATCAAAACCCAAAGCAATAGGAAACCAAAACAAGGACCCAAAAATAAAAAAACCCAAGAGAATATCAAAATCAAGACCCTATAACAAAAAGAATTAGGAATAAAAAAATTGCTAGTGAAAACAGATATTAGGGATTGAAAATCAAACAAAAAATAAAAAAGAACAGGTAAATTTATACGAATTTCACCAAAAAAAAACTTATATCCATCAAGTAATAGCTCCATTATCACAAAATATTTATGAGAATTTCACCAAATGCCTTATATGCTCTTAAATCAGCTTCAAGAATGCAATGGGGTAAAAAAAAATTGACCATCGACGTATGAAAGATAATCAGCTACAAGAACACAAAAGTTCTGTCTTCATATGTTGATCTTTATTTCCTTCGGTTTTTAACCAATCTGAAAGAGTAACCTTCATATGCTTCAGGTGATATATAGAAACTCTGGGACTCAAAGAAAGACAAAAACCGATAATAGATAACTTATGATGAAATAAAAACATGTACCAACAAAGGGAATTTGTAAGGATAACGTACCTTGCTGTAATCCAGGAGGGAGGCGATTTAAACCCTAATGATCAACAACATTATATGAGAGTGAAAGAGAGAATGAAAATATAAAAACATAATCTTGAATCCATACAGATTTAGGACTCGATTGTGAGAACAAACCAAGTTTTTTCCATCTTCATCAA